GCCCAGTTGTAATATTGAGCAGATAATACAATCTTAGGTGTCGCATTTCTGCATTGGACTGGACCCCCGTCTACTAAAATCGCCATCTCATATTTTAATTAATTACAGAGAAGAGGTCATTGCTTTGATCCTGGTATTTGCCGAGCTTTTATCTGATGGATCAAAGTGAAAAGATTGCCTTGTGTTAAGGTCTTCTCGCTATTCTTACAGCACCATACAGCCAGTATACGTTTTTAACAATAATAATAATAATAGTGATTATAATATTCTCCTTAACATTTGTCCTCTATTTTAATTTTCTACTTTCCATACATATCTAATTAACCAAACACAGCTTGTGTACAACTTACAGTAGAGCACTAGTCAAAATGGTCCTCCATCATTTTTTTTTTTTTTAAAAACACTTAACATTTTTACAAAATAGCATGTCTCATTCAACAACAAATGCCATAAAATATAGATACGTGTCTTTTGTGGAAGAAATTCGGGGAAAAGACGACGATAAAGTAGTATATCATACTTATTTTACCTTGAACCATTGCTGACGTCATTAATTGAACGAACGCGAATGCAATTTCCTAAGGATTTATAACCACACTAATACTATTGTACCAAACAGGAAACTTCCGCGGAAAAAAAGGTTCATATTCGATAATTCATTAAACTTCCACATAACTTAAAAAGGAATGGGGTGCGTTCAAGTTCACCTTGTAGACTAGAGCTCTAAACAGAACACACGTGTGCCACAGCATGTACCGACGTAACCATGGCTCCTGTGTGGCGCAGCTAGTTAGTGTCAGTAATAGCTATTGTCGGTTACCTGCTGACTGGAGCAGAAGCTCTGCTACTGGTGCTGCGACTTCCTCTGGGCATGTTTTTGTTAAATTCCGTTGGACTGTGCTTACTTGGAAACGGTGACCTTCTACAAACTCCTGCCCTGTCCTAAGTGTCCTCACTCACACTGTCCTGTCAGCTGCTGCTGCTTCTTCGGATGATGTGGTAAAACCCAACAGCTAGGAGCATTACTGCCACCTAGCGCTCTTGAAGATAATGTGTAACCCAAGACGTTATACACTCTTAACTATGTTTTATGCAAAAAAAAACTAAAACAAAAACCAATAAACAAACAAACAAAAAACGAATAAATGTGGCGTTCATTTTTTCCTTTTTTTTAAAGTAAGCAAAGAAATTTGCCAGTTGAAATACAGCCAGATAGATACATAGATAGATAGTTTTTTTCCCCCAGATAGATAGATAGAACTTCAGCTTTTTTTCTCTCGAAATATCACAGCTTTATTCTCACAAACCTCGTAACTTCTGAAGTAATGTGGCTCTCGAGTATTTGGCTATAACCGACGTGAAGAATTGGTGGGAGGCGCAGGAGGGGCGTTAACCATTTCACCCATATAAAAAGTGCACTCTTGCTGCAGAAAAGAGAAGAAGAAACGGAACCATGGCGTTAGAACTCTACTTGGACATGAAGTCTCAGCCCTGCCGCTCCGTTTACATTTTTGCCAAAAAGAACAACATCCCGTTTGTGTTCAAAAAGGTATCTCTGTTGAAAGGTGAGTGAACACACACACACGCACACCAACAGTTCGCTGGGACGACAGTGAAAACAAACGTACGAGCTTCGCAACACTTTATGTGAAGTTTTACGAAGTATGTGAAATATGGTGCTAAACAAACTGAATTTGGGTTGAATGTTTATATGGCGTCTCAAGGCTGCACGAGAATCTTATCACTTGAGCACCAGTCCCTGCTGCGTGAGTATGAGACATCATCGTAGGAAAACTGAGCGTGAGGAAATATTGCACAACCTTCTTGTGTGGTCCCAGTGGCGTCCTTTATTTACTGTATGCAAATGACAAACTGAAAAGTTGAGGATTTAGTAAAATGATGTTTTAACACCAAGTTTGTCCAAGTACAGTAAAGGCACACCCAGGCCGACGGTAACCTGATGATGCAGATGAATCTGGTCACCTGTCGCATCTTCCAGCAGATGCTTAACAATGAAACCGCCGATTTTCGTCAACTATCCATTTAATATCCATTAAACTACCTTTTTAATACATATTAGTGGCATTAAAAAAAGCTTGTGTACAAGTTCTGTACAAATATGTAGTATCAATATAAAACATAAGACATCAAACTGGAAAGTCTAAGAAGCCTATGTACAAAATAAATAAAACAACTTTTAAAAAAATCTAATTGAATAGGGAAAGCATCCAAATAAACAATCAATAATTGCTAAATGATATTGAGTTACGAGATAAAACATACGTTTCCAAAATATGAGATAGGAAGTTTAAATTATTGATGTATCTTAATTCCTATGATCATCATTTAGACTTCATTTTATGTCACACATCAGACGTTTTTCTAGCAGTAAAACTATAAAAGTAATGTAAATTGTGATATGGTTGGTTGTTTTTTTTTCATTTTTTAATCACTCTGTGGGTTTATGTTGCTATGACTGTTATACCGGCTGCTGACGTACTCAGTCACAGGTGTGACTCCTGTCTCCAGGTGAGCATTTTGGAGAAGAGTTCAAAAAGATCACACCCATCAAAAAGGTCCCTGCTATGAGAGATGGAGACTTCTGCCTGGCTGAAAGGTGATATAAATAATAGTTTAAATAGTTTCAACCCCGTGGCTTTGTGTCCTGCAGTTTACCACGATCTGTGTTTTTCCTCTGCAGCATTGCCATTATGCAGTATCTGGCCCAGAAGTTTCAGACTCCAGAGTTCTGGTACCCGACTGAGCTCCGCCAACGGGCTCTGGTCACCGAGTATCTGTCCTGGCAGCACATGGGCATCCGTTTGAATGGATCTAAGATATTCTGGCTAAGGGTACGGTCCCCGATATTGGGTGATGGTGTGGTCATCTGACTAGCACTTGGATACTTGTCATACTTGAAAACATACACAGTACGAGATACTGTAAAAATCACAAAATGTGTATTTTCCTGTACACAAACGTGTTGAACCTGTGCGTTTTTTTTTTTTGCTTGCGTCATCATAACTTACTAAAACTACAACTGAAACTCTCTCAAGGCGCTGTCTTAAAAAAACACTCCAGCCTTAAATGATATGAAAACCATCAACTGCTGTAATTTTAAGGGAACTGGAGGCCACAGAAAAATGTCCACAGAGACAGATCTTCTTTCGGTCCCCAGAGTCTGACCCACACACTGAAAAACAGCCATTCCTGTCTGAGCTGCAAGGAAATTCTTTTGTTATCACATGATCCGTTCAGACCCTGTTTATCTTTTATTTTTGTTTTAAGCTTGTAGTCTTTGTCTGCCACAGCTGCTGGTTCCCAAGATGTTGGGTGCAGAGGTCCCACAGGAGAAGATGGACTTAGCTTTGAAGGAACTGAACGGTTCCCTGAAGCTCCTGGAAGAAAAGTTTATCCAGGACAAGCCTTTCATTGTCGGAGATAACATGACGTTGGCCGACTTAGTAGCGATCGTGGAGGTCATACAGGTGAGCACTCTACTAAAACCAATTTGCGGAGGATCTGAATACCGGATTTTCCGGTCTATAAGCTGCTACTTTTTTCACGCGCTTTGAACCCTGCGGCTTAAACAATGATGCGGCTAATTTATAGATTTTTAACGGGCTAACGAAGTTCATACCGCTAGGGATCATTGAGTTTTCTGGTACACTACTGCATGTTATACTAGTAGCGTATGTCTTTGTGTTCGAGACAGAGAGAACAGATGTGAAAGTTGAGAGCAGTTTGAGCCCTATTATTTTTTTTTTCTTTTTAAATTCAGTGGGTGCGGCTTATATTCAGGTGTGTTCAATAGCCCGGAAATTATGGTAGTTCTCACTGTGCTGTCCGGGGTTTTTGCTTGCATCAGCACAACCTCCTATTTTGGCCTTGTTATTTCGGGATCTTTTGACCCAAAAACCAAAAATGCACTTTTGGGCTATTATCAGACAAAAAAATTTGATTGGAGAAACTAGTTTTGGTTACGTTGTAAATGGTTAAAGTGCTCTAAGTTAAAGGTTTATTAATATGCAGTCGCAATCTGTGTGAAAAGCTTTGAAAGAGATCTTTGCCCAACACATGATAAAAATCAATCTAATCTTAGTTGCCTTTATTTCAACCGCACTTCTGTCGTGTCTCACGTTGCTTGCAAAATTGGATCCTTGACCTTTCACCGTGTTGCGTCATTTCTCTCCCTCTTGCAGCCCGTATTTTCTGGCCTAGATGTGTTTAAGGAGAGACCCAAGCTGAGGGCGTGGCGAGACAGAGTTCAGGCATTCATCGGAAAGGAGCTGTTTGACGAAGCCCATGAAGACATTATGAACGTCCAGGAGAAGAGCGCAATGCTGGACGCCAGCGCATTAGAGTTGTGGAAACCCATGATCTTCAGTCTGATCATGTGAAGACAAACCAGCAATAATTTTCTTTTTGCAGGTCATGGTCGTGGAAGAGTAAAAGTCGACACATTATAAACCTGTTTAATGTTTGAAAAAATCTTTTATGTACCAAGAAAATGACTCAATTAGTGGTTCATACAAAAGACATTTTATGTTTTTATGAGTGAAATTAAAAAAAAAAACAATTAGTGGTTCATACAAAAGACATTTGAAGTGAAATAAAAAAAATGTTGAATTTAAAGCACTGGGGAATTCATTGTTACTGTACATGCACATGGTATAGTGAATTATAAACATTTAACTTTCCCTGTATAAATACACAGCTTTAACCAACGAGGAGAAAAGCAAAGCATCAAAGTCAACTTTATTATTCTGAAGGCTTCGGTAAATTTAAGAGAGAACAACTAATAACTTCCCGAAGCTCTAGGTAGAGGGAGCAGCGAGAGAGATTCTTGGAAGAAGTTCTCTCAAACAGTTAAATAATTATTGGCGCAGCAACAGTTTGAAGCCTCCCAATCAGGATACAGATCACACCATGGCACAGAAACAGTACTCGGTAAGATTACCAATGACCTACTCGTGACTTCATACAATAGACTAGTATCCATGCTGGTCTTTGATCTTAGTGTTGCTTTTGACACAATTGATCACGACGAACTATTTACACAGATTGGAGCAAATGCTTGGTATTAGAGGTACTGCAGTGAAACAGTACAAGTTTGTTCATGTCAACAATACTGCCTCTAAATGGACACAAGTACATCACGGAGTCCCCCAAGGTTCAGTACTTGGTCCAATTCGATTTACTCCGTACATGCTCCCATTAGGAAATACTACTAGAAAACGAAATGTCAACTTCTCTTGTTATGCAGATGATACAAAACAAGTTCTCGAACTCCAAGAATGCCTAAAGACATTAAGAACTGGATGACCAGGAACTTCCTGATCTACTCACCGTTATTTATATTTATTTATACACAATATTATGTCTGCTCTCTTTGCACGCCCCTATTTTCTCGCCCTAAGGCTGTCTCCCTCCAATTTTTCCCTTTCTCTCTTTGCTGAGGCAGTCGGCAAAACTGAGTCTGGAACTGCTAAAGATGTCTTCCTGTGGGCGGGTTTTTTTTTTTTCCTGCCGACGTTCGCTAGAAATGCTTACTCGAATTGTAACTTGAACTTCATTCTCTTTAAGGTTGTATTGTTCATTTAAAGTCAATATAGACATTGACTGAATACATCTCAATTGAAGTCCAACGAGACCCCGTATCTCTGAATCCAGGCCGTCCAAAACTACATTGACCTGACTCGACTTGGTCAAATGCTTTTTATCACCCGTGATGCTTCATGTGATGGTCTGTCTTCACGCTACATTATACAGCTGTATCATTTTTCTGTGCCATCTATTGGGGAAATGTGTGTATTGCAGGGAAAAGGCAGAAGTATAATGATTATGTAAATAAATTATATAATTTGGAAAAGTTTGGTGGGCCGGATTAAAACGCTGAACGGGCCGCATCCGGCCCCCGGGCCTTAGTTTGCCCATGTTCTAAAACCATAGTCGATATAAGACAGGTGGTACTAGAGCTCCTTCTAGTGGTACGTGGAGTAATCTAATCCCCATTGGAATTAAATGAATCACTCAGTGAGCGTGTGTATAAGTGCCAGTTGTAGTGCTAGTGTACTTCAGTGTACAGTATAAGTTCGGATGATAAATAGGCTATTAATCTTCTAGATATACAGTTCGCTAAACAAGGAATCCTACTGTGTTTCCCTGGTGGTAATACTGTTGGTACTTGGGGAGCCAAATATTTTAGGAGATTGTACCCGACCTACAATGTTTAAAAACAACAGTTCTGGAGCTTATTGTACTTAAAATCATTGCAGTGTCGTCTGCAAACAGTTAGATATAGATTTATACAAATATAGCCATCTAGACAGTTTGTCTAGCAGTGTCGTCTGCAAACAGTTAGATATAAATGTATACAAATATAGCCATCTGGACAGTTTGTCTAGTTATTATTATGTACTAATTTTGCTGCGGTAAGATCATTTGAATTTGTATTTTCTATATATGTATATACAAGTTATGTCAAAGCAGTGAATCCCCTTTCATTCTGTACATTCAACTGTATTTGCACGGACTCATTTCAATGTGTTCACTTGTGTGTAACAACTCTTCCCCCTGCAGGCAGAGACTGAGTGGAACTCACAATAGGATGTTAGAGCAGTGCAGAGAGAGAGGAAGACAAATAGCACGGCAAAGGAAGGAGAAGGAGAGAGAGGGAGAGAGAAACAGAGAGAGACAGAGAGAGAGAGAGAGAGAGTGTGTGTATGAAAGGAGAAGAGAGGAGAGAAGGCAGGAGAGGAGAAGAGAGGAGAGGACATGCAGTCAGACTCCAGCCAGAACAACATCTAAGTGACTAACGACCCCAATACTTGTAATGCACCAGAACTGACGATCAGTAGCAAGCACAGGTAAGACTTGAAGGAGGAATTCGCGAGACCAACCTGCCGTACATGCAGTGTCTGTCATACAGCATGCGTGTGTTTGCCTGGTTGTGTGTATCTGTGTGAGAGAGAGACAGACAGAGAGAGAGAGAGAGAGAGAGTGGCAGAAGAAAAGCTATAGAGTGTGAAACCCTGTTCACAGTGGACTAGAGGACAAATGTTGTAGAGCCCAAGGTTTAACACTGCTGCTCTGTTTCTCTGTGCATGTATTGTAGAGAAGCCACTGTGTGTGTGTGTGTGTGTGTGAGAGAGAGTGTGTTACACAGTAAAATACATAAGTTGCAATCGGGGCTATAGTGCGTGCGTGTGTGTGTCTAGTGTGTGATCACAACAGCTTCAGCGAGCTGTGTCATTGTGTCCTGACAGCGGAGTGTAGTCCAACACTGCAGCATCCAGCCACCACTCAAAACACACACACGCACGCACACACACACACACACTGGTAGTTGAACTGGCTGTACAGTAATTGTATATAATAGTAACTTCTTTTTTTTTTTTCCCTCCCTAATTTGATGTAGGGGGCCCTAACATGCATAAGATTTTTGGAAATTTTGAATGAAAAATGTCGAGATCCGAGTGATGAAGAAATAGCTTTGCACAGGTTACAACAGTCAGAAAATTGATTAAAAAAAAAAAAAGAACCTGACATGTAGATGTCTATTCTGAAAATGGCCAGTTTTGTCCTGTACCAATGTCATCTCCTCTGAGAGGATTCTGTCAGTGCTGTTAATGTACATGAATTAATTGAATCTGTCCTAACAGAGGATTTTCTCTCTTCTCACCCAAAATAGTGGTTTGGGCTCCTGAGCAGACAAAAAAATAAATAAAAAAATACTACTGTATAGTCGGCCTAAAACTTGTACTTTTGAGATTGTTGTTGTGGTGCATGGAGTTATTGAATCCCCAGTAGAATTAAGTGGTGTGTGTGTAGTTTCAGCATTGAATTGAAGTATCATTTATAGTACTACCAATTATTTTCCGAGCTTGTGCCTAACATAGACGGGTAGAAAACAACAATTCTGGAGGTTTACTCGATCTAAAATCAGGGTCTCATCTGCATACGGTTCGATGTTAAGGTTTGCAGAGATTGCAACGAATCCTGCTCATTTGACTAGGTAATATGTACTCATTTGCTGAGTTACTATCCATGTTATTTGTATTTGACGTACATTTGACTTATACTCTGTCTAATGCGCCGAGAATTTAAGATTCCACTTTTTGTTTGCCCATAGGATCGGGAAGTGGCCTAACATTGACCATAAAAATCAACCTCAGAAATGTAATATTTGACCGTCTGTCAACTTATAACGGCAGGTGTGTGGGAGCAACTAATAGAGAGCTTTAATGGGGTAGCAGTAGAGGGAACAGGGAATCGAGCGAGTGACGAGGACACCAACAACTGACCCCTTTTTGTGGAACAATGTTGCTCACCAGTTCACCGCCGTGCATGTGTAGACAGGAGAGCTGCTGCATCGTCGATCATTTCCAGTCTACGACTTCATCTTTGTATATAGGACGGCGCAGCTCCTCTAGTCCTTTATGTCCATTGGAGATCCAGGGAATTCAGTCTGATGACATGCGCTGTAAATCACCCTTAGCCAATCACATCAGTGAATACAGATGAGCACTTGGAGCAGAGTCAGGAAGTAAGTGATCCACACATGGGGAGGCATGGGCAGGGGAGTATAGACAGATAAATCAGGGGGAAAGAAAGAAAGAGTTTTTTGGGTTTTTTTTTTTTTTTTTTTAGTTTTGTGTTTCTTTGCTTATAAAAGATTAGGTTTGCAATTTTCCCGACACTATGGAAGGGTGGTTGGTGCTCTTGCCTTACAGCAAGAAAATCACATGTTCGATAAATGATTTAAGATGGAATGTTCTCCTCGGTTGTTTGTGTTTTTTCATCAGGTACTCTGGTCTCCTGGTTAGGTAAATCAGCATTAGGTTCATTTAAACTCTCCGCATTTCCACCTTAAATGGCGTAAAAAAAAAAGGCTAAACGAATTTCAGCTAGGGATGCACCGAATATTCGGCCACCGAAAGAGTTTTATCACTAAAAAAAAACAAACAAAAACGAAACAGGTACTTATGATAATGCAAGAAACGCGGCCAACGCAGGCTTGTCTGAAAGTACCACCAACATGCCTGCAGTTTGGACGTATTTCAACATGTCTGAGAAAGACCCAATGTAATAGTACACTCCTAGAGTCTGTCAGCACACGTTTCACTGAGATCTATTCGTATCTCCTGCGCTCGTTGCGACTCTGCTTGATCCGCGTTATAAAGATCATTAATTGGATGCGGGAATAAAGCAGCAAGCACGAGAAATGATCCAGGCCGCGATGGACGTGGAGAACCTCACGGAGCATGGAGGAAGAGAGCAGTGTCTCAGATGAGGGGTCATGTTCTGCGAGTTCCTCAAGTAATAATAATAGTTGGGCGATTCTGTTCTGACTTCCTGTGTGACTATCAGTTGATTTTATTTCTCTGCTAGACGTTCGACAATAATTTCTTTTTGACAATTATTAATGTATTATTTATTTATGCAATTGCAGTGCCTTGATTTTATCGAGGTGTAGTACACAGACATAAGCATAAATGCATTGGTATTAATAATTAGCATAATAATTTCTTTCAGAGTTACGGTTTTCGGTTTTCTGCCTTGGTTTCC